GAGGTTGCGATTAGCCGTCGGGTGGGGGTGGGGCTGCTGGACGGGGACAGGGCTTGGGGAGACAGGGCCCCGGGGTCGTTCTTGAGCCCCCTTCCCAGAGTCGATGACTTCAAGAGATGGGAACAGCCTTAGACAAAAATAATTGCCGTTTCTTGGGCGTTTACTACATTAGTACGTGTCAGGCCCTGCTTCTCTCCTATCTTATTTAATATGTAAATACTTCGCGGCAGAGCGTACTGTTATACACGTTTTACACGTAGGGAAAGTGAGGCACGGGGAAGTTGAGTAACTTGCCCGAGATCACAGAGCTGTAAATAACCAAGATGGGATTCCAGGAAAGGTGTCTTTACTCTGAAGTCAATAGGTTTAACTATCAGTATGTAGCCTTTTAGTATATTCCAGAACTGCTGAGTTTCCAGATGAGAAACTGAGACCCAGAGGTGCCGTTAAATAGGTGGCGCTTGTCAAATGTCTAACACAATTCCCGGCACGGTGTCCGTCCTTGTCTGTTTCTTTCCAATGCATGTTGACTTGGTTTACTCCCAGAACCGAGGTCTCCCAACTTAAGAGTTCTTTCTTCCCACCCCTCCCATCAGTTCTGTCTCTCTCCCCATCTCTGGACCTCTCAGTGGCTTCTCTCTGGCTCCTTGGGCACTGAGAATTGGATCATCCAGCTTTGGTTGAGCTATGCTGACTCTGAAATGCTTCTTGAAGGCAGAAGGCGTTTAGGAGGAGTCTGAGTCACCAGAAGAGACTTGGTGCGATCAGAGCTTTGTAGCCTGCTAAGGCCAGCACCCAGAAATGTTTGATGAGTCAGGAGAAAGCCTGGGGTGCTCCCAGCTTCAGAATACTGACTTCCCCTCTATCTTACGTGCTCAGGTCTGCTGGACCAGCCTGTTCCTAGTAATGACCTCTTTTCTCTGAGTTGTCCTTCTCTTTTCTGGTACTAGTCCTCTCTCCCACTTAGCCCTCCCCAGTGAAGAAAGTTGTGGTATTTGGGAGGAAGGGGAAGACAAATGGAACCATGTGAACTTGGATCTTGTTATCTTATAATCAGAGAAATCTCACATTGTTCCCAGTTTGTAAGCTGTCTGTGTGAGAGCCAGTCTCCGGCCTGGAAAAACACTTTTGATGCCATTTGGTAACATCTCCTGGGACTAGTTTTCTTTCTTTCTCAGTGGGACTTTGTGGGACGAGAATGTATCTATCCTGCTTGGGCCTCCTACCTGGCTTAGGGCTCCATTCTGCTAAATAATAGTGTGCCTTGTTTGAGAAAATGCTTTGGCCTCGTTTCCCCCCAAATTGCGTATACAGTAATTGAAGTTTAGTGTTTAAAATTTCATGTGTAAAATAGCCTTGCTCTTTTAAGTCATGAATCCCTTTGAGAGTGATCAAAGCCACGGATTCTCCGAGAAAAATGCATGTGCACCATCATCTCAAGGGCTTCGTGGCCTAAAACCCCAGCCAACCCAGGTCTGGAAACCCAGCTTTAAAGGAACCCTGAAGTGAGCCCTTTGGGGATGCATAGAGCCACGTCTTAAAGGGCTTGTGTATTAGGACTCAAAAACAAACCAGCGAAAACAGAAAACACCTATAATAAGGACTCAGAAGAAAATGGGAGAGTTAACCCAGGTAATCTAACCTGATTTGAGGGATTACAGGGTTAAGGCTTTAAAGCCCTCAGCTCCTCTGGTGTGGTCACCTGGGGGTGGGGGGTGTGCGCGGCTTGGGGAAATTCTGCAGACCTCTGCCTTGCTCCTCCCTTCCAGGGCTATATTAATGGTTTCCTTGCAGCAGTGTCAAAACAGAGATGCGACATGCCGGACACCTGCCTACCAGGGGCGTGCAGTCCCTGGGGAAAACAGATCATGGCTCCAGACTGGCTCATCAGGGCTCTTCCTCCTTTCTTATCACAGCATCCTGATGTCTTATGACCATGTGGAACTTACATTCAATGACATGAAGAACGTGCCCGAGGCCTTCAAAGGGACCAAGAAAGGCACCGTCTACCTTACCCCTTACCGGGTGAGTTGCACAGTGTGATGGTTGGTTTGAAAGCTTGTGTTTCCTGGACGCTGATGGGGGTTTTAGGTCGGCGTCATGAGTCCAGTGGCCTCTGAACCTGGTGAATGTTGGTTCCTCACTCCACGTGTTTCTGTCACATGCTCTTGGGTGCTAGAACCATCAGACTGCTTGTGCAGCTTGAACTGACCCCTGGGTGTTGACTCCATGCAAATTCCAGATCTTTTGCTGTAAAATCTGTGTGTTGTTGGGTCAGTCCCCGCTGCTGGGATGACTGCAGCCTGGAGTAGAGGCTGTTGTTACTTTGATTTCCGTCAGAGTAGCCCACGAGGCCTTTGTGTACATCCAGAATGACAAATGTGGTAAACAGGATACAGTAGCAGGGCCACAGCCTCCAGCTGGGCAGAAAGCCCAGCAAAACCCTGCAGAGCGCGAAGTGCCAGACTGCGGAATGGGCCTTGGCCTGAGAATTACCCAGGCCGACTCTGAGAGCCTTCCAGAGAAAGACAAATGGCCATTCTTGAAAAAGGTTCGCTGCCTGTAGCTACCAAGAGTTAGATTTAAAGACGGTTGGAAGTGGGGCGTAGCTTCAAGTTTTTATCAACGGGCCTTGGCAGAGAGACAAGGGAGCCTCAAAACCCCTTTTCTGTCATCTTCAGCCACAGATGGAAGTCACGGGTTTAAAACAGAGGGCTGTCCCAAGTGCGGGACGGGAAGCTCTTGCTGCTCGTTGGGCAGCCCCCTTCTCCCAGGATCTCACCCCGTCGGGCTACACCTCCCCGCTCTGGAAGCCAGCGCTGCCTACCCCTGCCTCTCTGCCCCAGCGCTCTGCACTTTCGTGCCACATCCGCCACCCCCTCACCACCACTCAAACGGCAGAGTGGTCTGTTCCTCTCACACACGCTGTGAACGGCCTCTTTTTTCTCACAAACACCCACGTTCGGCCTCCAGCCAGGCTGCACGTGGGACCTTTCACTTTCAGAGCGCTCTCCAGAAGCTTCCTCGGTGCAGAGCGCCCTGGGGCTGCTGGACCCTGGCCGGGGGAGCAGACCCCTCATGCACGGGAGGTGCTAGCTAAGGGGGGCTTCGGGCCGTGGGGTGGGCGCTGATGGCTCCCGTCCTCTCTGCCTGCAGGTTGTCTTTCTGTCCAAAGGAAAGGATGCCATGCAGTCCTTCATGATGCCCTTTTATCTGATGAAGGACTGTGAGATCAAGCAACCTGTGTTTGGTGCGAACTACATCAAGGGAACAGTGAAGGCTGAAGCAGGAGGTGGGTGATGAAGGCTCCGGGCCACGGATGGGGCTTCCAGAGAGGTGCTCTGCCGCGCCTCTGCTAGACGTCCCCTTCAGACCCTTATCACCCCCGGCCTTGTCCTCTTCCTGGCTCTGGATTAGCTTCCAAGCCCAACACCCAGGCTGCCAGTTGTTCAGCAGAGGTGGGTTTTGGCCAAGGGCTAGGAGATGCTGGCGTTCAAGGTAGCAACTCAGATCACATTCTCAGAGCAAAATCAGCTATGTCACTGAAAACTAAGAAAAAAAATGCTTATCGTGACCTGGGGAATGTGTGCAAAGTTTAGCTGTCAGGTTCTTGGGAGGGGCCTTTTCCCTAGAGCCAGGAAGAGCCAGCTGTCTCTCTGCCACCAGAGACGCCCTGTTTGGTCGCCAGCTTTTGTGCAGACACCAGAGACTTCTTTGTCGAACTTGGCCTTCCCCTCACACCCAGCCAAGTGGAAGCTTGGTCTCCAGGCGCTCACAGTTCCCCTCTGGCAGAAGCCAGGTTCGAGGGGCCAGGGGTCCATCCTTAGGCCCCTTAGGAGGGGAGATCTGCTCTGAACTTGAATGTCACTTGTTGCTGAGTGAACCTGCCCTAGGGAGGCTGCTTCGTGGGGGTGGGAGGCTCTAGGGCTGATGGACTTCCACGGCTGGGGGTGGGGTAACAGGCTTGTTCCAAGAAAGAAGAGCCGCCTCTTCCAAAGAGCGAAGCAGGCACGGGCAGGAGGCGGGCACTGCAGAGCCAACCCTTGCCCCGCAGGCCACCAGGTCACTGGCCAGAGACCCCAAGAGAACAGAGAGCCGTCTCTTGAGGCTCTTGAGGCTGTGTTCTTTTCCTGAGCTGTTGACGCAATGTTCCCCTCCCAGGTGGCTGGGAAGGCTCTGCGCCATACAAGTTGACCTTTACGGCAGGGGGAGCCATCGAGTTTGGACAACGGATGCTACAGGTGGCATCTCAAGGTATCAAGGCTCTGAAAGCCCCCGGGGCGAAGCACACACTGACACGCGTGGGTTTAGTTTGTGCATTTGACTTGGTTTACTTTTTATTCTGATTTTTTAAGCACTAGAGAGAGAAAGTCTCTGGGCCCCAGGCCCGCCGGGGCTGGGAATTGAGAAGAAAGCTTGTAATTAGCATCACTCCGGCCTGTACCTCGAAGGCTGGGTTTGCCCTGTCTGGAGCAGGTATAGGACATCTTGACAAAGCTCTTTGGACCCAAGGACATTTTACTGTGGCCTCATAAAAACAAACATGAAACCCAACCTTTAAGCTACCATTAACACTTGAAATCCCCAAGGGTTGTGCTCGGCAGACATCCTCCCGTCGCCCCCAGCCTCACCCCGGCTCCGGCTGGTACCCCATCCCCGAACCTCCCTCTTTCTGTCCATCTGTCCTCTGCCCACCCCTCCCCGCTGCCCTTGACCTCCCCTGCCTTGGCTCTGACCTGCCTCCCCATCCAGACTCCTCACTTCTTCCCTGACCAAGGCTGGCTCCAGCGTGGATGGGGAGTGGAATGGGGCGGGGTAAGGCATGTCTGCTGTGCACATCCCAGGGACCCTGCAGCTCCCCTCGGTGGGCGACACTCATTTCTCTCTCCCCTTGTGCTTATAGCCTCCCGAGGTGAAGCCCCCAATGGAGCCTATGGGTATTCTTACATGCCCAGCGGGGCCTATGTCTTTCCCCCGCCAGTCGCCAATGGAATGTACCCCTGCCCTCCTGGCTACCCCTATCCACCGCCCCCACCTGGTGAGTGTGTCCTTTGCTGCCCACCCCTCACCCCACCCACCCACTAACCACCCCACCCAGGCCAGGGGCTTGTAGAGGGGAGACTTGTTCTTCAAGCTGCTTCAGGACTAATTGAGAAGGTGGAGAGGCCCGGGAGCTGCCAGCTGAGGGGCTAGGCTGCTCACTGGCCCCTGTTCCTCTCTTGCCGAGCAGAGTTCTATCCAGGACCCCCCATGATGGACGGGGCCATGGGATATGTGCAGCCCCCACCACCGCCCTATCCTGGGCCCATGGAACCTCCTGTCAGCGGCCCTGATGTCCCCTCTACTCCTGCAGGTGAGGCCCTGGGCTGCTAGCAGTCCTGGGGGGCCAGCCCTCCCCTCTCCGTGGCTGTGTGGAGAGCCTCAGAGAACAGTTAGAGGTCGGCCGGGAGCCCCACATGGTGAATGACCCCGAGCCTTGGACTGGTCCCGGGGACTAGCAGTGTGGTTGCTCCTGGGGAGAGTCTAGATTCCACCCTCACCTCCAGCCTCTTCCCCGACTAGCCTTGTGCCCCGGGGCTGGGAAGGTCTCCCTGTATCGTCTTGTCTTCTGTAACCGCATGGTGGCAGTACCACCTGGCGGGATCATGGGGAGAGAGGGGTAAAGGAGCTAGAAAGAACCAAACTGGACCAGGCAGCACTAGCTGCTGGGGGGGTGATGCCTGGCGGGGGGCATCTATCTCGGTACAGCTCCAGGGGCAGCTGGAAGAGGGGAGGGCTTGTCGCTGGGACTTAGCCCAAGCGTGTTTGTTCTCGCAGCTGAAGCCAAGGCGGCAGAAGCGGCTGCCAGCGCCTATTACAACCCGGGCAACCCACACAACGTCTACATGCCCACGGTGAGCAGGGCCCATGCGCGGGCGGCCAGATGCAGGGGTTTAGGGGTGGGAAGATCTGGTCTCGTTGTGAACCTTCTAATGCGATCTTTCTTCCTTCCTTTCTCAGACCCAGCCTCCGCCACCTCCCTACTACCCCCCGGAAGATAAGAAGACCCAGTAGACCCCTCCCACCCCTGCTTCCCACCCCTCGTCACTCTTCCCTTCCCTTCCTCTTGGAGCTGAGACTGGGGTTCGGGGGGTGATGGAAGGGCCTTGTTCTTCCTCCAGGTGTGATTATAAAACACTTCCCAAGGACTGGTGTTGAGGGAAGGGGGGGCCCCCCTGACTCGGGAGCCGTGCCTCCCAGCTTCTCAAGCTATAGCTCAGAGCCCACTCAGTCGGTGCCGCTCGGTCGTGCTTCCCTCTCGCCACGCCTGGGGCTCTGTTCAGGAGCGTGAGCGTCCACCTCGTTCCCGTCTTGCTCTAGTAGTTTCTCCCCACGGAGACTCTCTGGCCACCTCCTGTACCGCAGTCCAGCTCCCTCGTTTTGGAATCCACTTAATACTCGGCCTCGTGAACTCCCTCAGACCAGCCTCGTGTCTTCCTGAGGGCCCCTGCCAGGCCCCCCTCACATTCCCTCCACTCTGGTCTGTGCCTCACCATGGAAACCGGACTGTCAGCCCACATTCCAATCCCAGCCAGCCTCCAGCCCCGGTCACACTCTTCTTCCCCTCCCTGTCCTGTCCGACGTCTGTCGCCACCGCTTTGTGACTTTTTGGAGCTTTAACGTGAGCTTCCAGGGGGTGGGCCGCCTCAGGACCAGGCCGCCGCGATGGGGAGGGAGCCCACTGCTTCCCTCCGAGTGTTTCTGGCATTTGTTTCCCTTTGCCTTCTCTCTTTTCTCTCTAGAAGGGGCTTCTCAGACTGGATGCGTGTTCATCCATCCCATCATGCCATTTGGGGGCTGCTGGGTGGGCTGGAACAAAGGCCCTGACCCCTGGGGCCTGGCCTGAACCTGTGTGCTGACCGTGACCTCTCACCAGCCCCTCACCCTGCACTCTTCCCTTTAAGCTTCATGCCTAATTGGTGATATGCCCCCTGGATGCACTAAAATTTGCTCTCATTTGCTTCTGGACTGGCCGTGAAGTGAGGAGATGGTTATTTAAAGAGAATTCCCTATTTATTTGACAAAAAAAAAAAAAAAAAAAAAAAGAAAGGAAAGAGAAAGACAACAACCAGTTAATATATTAACGTGAAATAAACCCTGTTTGCACCTTGATTTGTTTGCTGAAAACGTGAAGTAGTAAAAATGAAGTGACTGGACCTGTCTGGCTCTGTGTGTGGTGACCAGCGTGATCTCTTGGGAAAAGAGAACTGGCTGCTAAGGGCCCTGGGGAGACTGTTCCCGCCCCGTGTGAGAGCCCCTTGTTCCCACAGCGCATGGGGGCCCAGGACCACTCCGGCCTCCCACGTCTCCATTCCACGGTGGTTACTCAGCAACTTCGCCCACCCACGGGGTCCCCTGGGGCCTGGGGCAGCCCAGCAGCTGTCCTGGGCTGGGAGCTTTAGAACCAGGGGCCGGGCTGCTGTGCTCACCACCTCGTGGAAGGGTGCCCGTGGGAGGGACATGTCAGGTGGCCACACCTGCGGGTGCCTTCTCCTTGTGAAGGTCCGTGCCTGGGAGCAGGGAAGAGCCAACCTCCGTGCCCAGGCCTGCAGCCCCCCTGGGCCCTGGCCTGGAGGAAGGCCATGGGTGTGGCATCCGTGCCTCTGGGAGCTCAGAAAGCCCAGCACTGAAGTGTCCTATTTTGCTGTCTCTCCAGCCT